GTCTTCTAAGTAATTGATTTAGCATTAAACACCAAACATACTATATAAACTCTTACATGTAAGAATGATGTCATAAGAAAATGAAAACAAAAAATTTCAATAGGCACAATTCTTTTAGAACGTATGTGATGGAGTCCCTAAAAGAGTTCTACACGTCAAACTTATGGATGAATGTATCATTTTTTACTTATAGTTTAATCGTGTTATATTTTTTTTTCCAGTAGTATAAATGAGACCATTCAAGATCATATGTTTAGAGATATTTTGTTTTCTCAAACCATATTGATTTTAAATCTACATAACTTTTTATATTCCTTAATTAATAACATTTATAGTATTTATAAATTTCCAATAATTTTTTGCATTCTCTTATTATATATGTAGTTATATTAGTACATTTTCCTTACAAAAAGTCGTCATTTGGTTGAAGATATTGTGATTCAAAAGTTTTCATATAGTTGAAGCATTCACGATCCAAATATGATGAATTGAAGAAATGGGTTATGTTGCATCGATGGTAATTGTAATATGATTTTTTCTTTCAATCAAACCAAATGAAACTTTTCTATTCTTTCTTTATATTCAGTTTCTCATTTGATCTTTATATGTGATTTGTGTGTATTACTCAATCTTGAATGTGACTTTCCAAACATCAATGTTTTGCTTGGAATATCTTTCTGATTCTTCTTTTTCAAGAAAAACATTTTAGTTTCAGGTTAATAAGAATTGTCATCAAGTTTCTATTGTTGAATCGTGTTAAATATAGAAAGAAGATTCATAAAATGGATATAGGTCTTTTGTTTAAGCATAGTAGACGAATGTTACTTTTTTCTTTTGATTTAAATGTATATTTATGTAACATTTTTATTTATATATTCAACCACCAAATGTTCTTATTTATTTGATTGTAGTTTTTCTATTTTGATTATGTTTGTTTTCTATTTTTTTTTTGTTGGGTTATCCTACATAACATATTTACAAGACAATATTTAAAAGATAACATAATTTTTAACATTTGATATGTAATTATTATTAACTTATCATGATATGTTCTTCATATAAAGTAATTTATTCATATTACTACGACAAGAATTACATATGACATTTACGAAAATATATATTATATGTGATTTGTTTAACATGTATATGCACCTATGTATGTTATAAATTTATAATTAATATCTTTATGTTTAATAATGAAGGGATTAAAATGATGCATCAAAACCAATTATTTAGAGGAATAATAATAATAATAATAATAATAATAATAATAATAATAATAATAATAATAATAAATACACATTTCCAAGTACCGCATTCATTTGAAACTCACACTACAACTCAAGAGTTTTCTAATTTATGTATATTTATTAGTTACAAATCAAGAGTTTTTAACTTATGATTATTAATTAGTAATCACTAACAACTTTTTATTTTCCTTTCTTTTATAAGGTTGTAAAGTTTTGGTCATTAAAAACATTAATGTATTTGAAAAAAATTATGATTTAAATATGAAGAGTTAATATAAATGTTATAATAGATGTTTTAGTGTTTTTATGTTATTAAAAGTTGTAGTGTTTATTTTTCATATTTTTTATTATTCGTTGTATGTGTATATATATATATATATATATATATATATATATATATATATATATATATATATAGTTTATTTTGTTTCTTACATTTATTGTGTACTAGAATGCAGCAATAGGAATTTAGTAAATTAAATAATTATTTAATTAAATAAAATAGATATTAAATGATTTCCATAATTATATGTATATTAAATGATATCCATAATTATAATTCTCTTTTTGTAGAAACTAATTAAATCCGTTATTAATGTCAGCAATAACATTCTTTCAGAATAAATTCGCATGTAGGTTTTTATATATGAGTTCGTATTTTGTTTTAGGACTCACTCACTTAAAATACAATAAAGTTGAATGGAATATAAAGAACGGGAGTGTATTCTACTCGAATACACTCTCATTCTTCTAGATATGAATTTATTCTAAAAGAATATTATTGTTAACATTAATGACGAATTTAATTAGTTTCCATAAAAATTATTATAAGTATGGATAGCATTTAATATACATATAATTAATACTAAATTCTTATTGGTGCATTCTAGCACACAATAGATGTTGGAAACATTTGAACCTACCTCTCTCTCTCTCTCTCTCTCTCTCTCTATATATATATATATATATATATATATATATATATATATATATATTATATTAATACAAATGTTATAATAGATGTTTTTCTATTGTTATGTTACTAAAAGTTGTAGTTCATATTTTTGTTCATACATTTTGTTACCCGTTATATTATCATTCGTTTGATATATAATTTACAGAATTTTAAACGGTTTATAAAATTATCAAATAATTGTATATATCATAATGACTTAAAAATTAAAACTATAATGTTTAATAAAACTAATATGTTAACTATATGTTTGCTTTACTACTAACATTTGGTTTCAAAGTAGAAATATTAAATAATAACTTGGTAAAAGTTATTATTTTAACTATATAATTGTATTCCCGCGATTCACCTAGTTAACCAATAAGATATTACTATCGTTAATCTAATATTTAACCAAAACAGATATGGACATTACACGTGGACAAATAAGATCAGGAGAAGGAGTCGGCTAACTAGAAATGCTGTACGCATCTAAATCCTACTGAACAGGAGAAGGATTCCTACATGTGTAGATGATGAGTTATCATGCAAAAACATGAAAACGCATTTCCTTGTGTGAAAAACCAAAAGTTGATTATTATTTTTTTTTTGAAGAAATTATTGAAATGGTCCCTATGTTTTTTGAAATTTCATGTTTGGTCTCTAATGTTTTTTTTTGCACTTAGACCGTTCATATACTTTGATTTTATTGCGAATTTCGTCCCTAACACACCTCAAAAGACTATAATACCCTTACTTTTTTTTCATTTATTCAATAAAATTAAAAAAAATGTTTAATAAAGATTGGGCCCCACTCGCACCCATCATCTCCTATAACAGCCCCTCGTCAAAATCTCTCCTTCGTTCCACATAAAAAGCATCATGATAACCCACCATCGGCGACGTCCGTCTACCACCAGTTACCTTCTCGCCAGACTTCCCACTCAGGCATCTCTCAGATAACCGACCACAACGACAAGTTTACGACGGTGGTGGTCTTCAATGATGGCGAATTAGATGAGATGTTCATCACCGAAGAGAAGGGTTTCCAGATCTGCAAACAAGATGTTCAGACAAGGTCTTCGGATCCTTCTCCCCGTCTCCTTCGGGCTGATCTACCTCCTCACCGCTTTCTACTCTTCCCTCTCGGTCTCTCCAGATCTAAATTGTTTTTATATACAGGGACTTGGAATCCCATAATCAAAAAACAAAAATTTCTATTTATGAACATGTTGTTTCTATGATTTTGGAGTTTCAGGTGATGATGAAAATTGAATCTCAGGAAAAAAAAAAAAAAAAAACAACTTTGCAACTTAAATGTTATTCATAGATGGAAGTTCTTAAATAAACCTTAATGTCCTTTATTTTGGTGCTTGATTCAAGCTTAAATTGTGTGTGTTTTCTCTTGGGTTTTCGAATTTGTTGCTTTCAGTTTTGATTTTTGTTTCGGTTTTGTTTGAATTTGATGTTGGTGGTGAGTGGTTGTGGTTAGTAGAGGTGACAAGGGAGTGTCGACAGTGAATGGTGGAGGCTGCCGGAGGTGAAAGACGGGTGAAAGAGGGTACGAGTGGTGGTGGATTGGATTATTTCGAATATGATTTCAGGTTTCCAAAGGTCGTTAGCGGGTTCTGGTTGTCTTCGGAGGTCGTCGGTGGAATACGGTGGTCACCGGTGGTTTTCAATGGCTGGTGGTGGGAGTGGGAGTGAATTTGAGATTGGGCCCCACATATCTATAAAATATTTAATTTACTTTTTTAAAATTATAAATAAGAAACAAAGACTGAAAAGAAATATAAAGGGCAAAAAAGTATTTTCATGTCGATCAGGGATAAAACAAAACGCAATAAAAATAAATTATAGGGACTATCCGAGTGAAAAAAAAAAGTTAATGACCAAACACAAAATTTTGACAAACCACATTTTTAGTAATTTGTTTTTTTTTAATCCAAAATCCTTCGAGTTTCAATGTCCAAACAAAAATCCAGACAGCGTACGGATCATCCGATTGCCGTACTGCCGGTTTTATCCGGATTGTTTAAAATCCATTTTTTTATGCACCTCTACTTCTAGTTATTTTACATTTTTGTTGTTTAGCATATTAACTTAATTTCTAAAAAATTATAACATACATTATATTATTTTTAATTAAGAACATCATAAATACGGTAGAAACCAACATCGCAAGTCCGAAAACGGCAAGCATTAATCCAATGGGAAGGCGGTTGTTTTGACGGAGTTAACACACTCCTAAATCGTGCCGAACTGTCTATGGCCGACAAGTAAATTATTCCTTTTTTCCTTAAACAATCAGGTAATATTTATTTATGAAAAAAAAAAAAAGACCACGCATTTAACACGTATAAATTGTTAACTTGTCCCTTTAGGTAACCAGGTGTTCTTTTTTATTTTATTTATGGATGCCATTTAATAACCAAGAAAACACATAGATGATAGAAATATTTTATTTTAATGAAAACCAATGTATAGATAAGTATAAATATCAGAAATGAGACTGTTTTCAACAAAGGGGTTCTGATGCAGTTTCCTTGCACTTTCTTAAAGCATTTATGTATTATAAGAGACGCAAGCTACCGGTACTAAGATTGAAATTCTTCCATCTCATCATCCTCAACTGAGCATCCTTTTGCCTTGCATACGAAAAGTTCCAAAAAATGGTTTCCGAAATTGAATCCCATTGTGACATTGGAGGGATGCTATATAACATAAGCACAATTACACTTACTATAGCCCAAAAAAGATGGCGTCGAGCTTATTTTTCCATTTACTTCTCAAACACTATGTTATCCATCGCCAAACTTCCCCGCTACCCTATTTCCGGTATAGTTGCAACACCTTCATATACTGCTCTTAAAATCAGCATCCCAAAATCTATAGACCAATTTGCAAGCATTGACCAAACAGACCTCACAGATTTGGTCAAATCCAAAAACTTGGAGATCCTTGGAAATTTAAATGGTGTCACAGGCTTGGCTGAATCTCTACGGACCAATCTCGAGCATGGAATCAGTGATTCCGAGATGGAAACACGAAAAACCGCATTTGGTTTCAATACTTACAATAAACCACCCCCGAAAGGGTTTGTTTACTTTGTGGTGGAGGCTTTTAAGGACCCCACGATTCTGATATTACTCGCATGTGCAGCACTTTCGCTTGGGTTTGGAATCAAAGAAGAAGGGGCGAAAGAAGGGTGGTACGAAGGTGGGAGCATCTTCGTGGCAGTTTTTTTAGTTATTGCTGTTTCTGCGGTTAGTAACTTCCGGCAAGAAAGACAGTTTGACAAGTTGTCAAAAATAAGTAATAATATAAAAATCGATGCAATACGAGATGGAAGGCGACAAAAGATATTGATTTTCGATGTGGTGGTTGGAGACGTTGTGATTCTTAACATCGGAGATCAGATTCCGGCGGACGGATTGTTCATCGATGGTTACTCTTTGCTTGTGGATGAATCGAGCATGACCGGAGAAAGTGATCATATAGACATTGATTCCATCCGGAATCCGTTTTTGATTTCCGGTTCAAAAGTGGCAGACGGGCATGGCCGAATGCTTGTGGTATCGGTCGGAATGAACACCGCTTGGGGAAAGATGATGAGCTCCGTAACCGGTGATTCCAACGAACAAACGCCGCTACAAGCTCGTCTTAATAAACTCACGTCTTCAATCGGGAAAGTCGGTCTTGCAGTTGCTTTCCTTGTTCTTGTGGTCATGTTAATCCGGTATTTCACCGGAAACACAGAAGACGAACACGGGAATCGGGAATACAACGGGAAAAGGACAGATACGAACGATATACTCAATTCCGTTACACGTATTTTCGCGGCGGCGGTGACGATTGTTGTGGTGGCGATCCCGGAAGGATTACCGCTAGCTGTTACACTCACGCTCGCTTACTCCATGAAACGAATGATGGCGGATCAAGCCATGGTTAGAAAGTTGTCCGCCTGTGAAACCATGGGTTCCGCCACTGTTATATGCACTGATAAAACCGGGACCTTAACCATGAACCAAATGAAAGTTACAAAATTCTGGCTCGGCCTCGATCTCATTGAAGACAATTCCTCTAATTCCAATACAATAGATACGCAAGTCATCGGACTTTACCATCAAGGAATCGGTTTAAATACAACCGGTACCGTTTACAACTCCGGAACCGGAATAGAGTATTCCGGCAGTCCAACCGAAAAGGCGATTTTGTCATGGGCGGTAACGAATTTGGGTATGGATATGGAGAAACTGAAACGGGATTGTACCGTTTTGCATGTCGAGACGTTTAATTCCGAGAAGAAACGGAGTGGGATTTCGGTTACGAAGAAAGAAGATGACACTGTACACGTCCACTGGAAAGGAGCTGCTGAAATCATACTAGCAATGTGTTCAAATTATTATCAGAAATCCGGTGTTCTAAAGCCTATAAATCACGAAGAAAAGACACGCCTCGAGAACATAATCCAAGGAATGGCAGCAAGCAGCCTGAGATGCATCGCCTTCGCTCATAAACAGATTCCAAATGGTACGAATTACAAAACACTAAACGAAGAACAATTGACATTGTTGGGAATTGTAGGGATTAAGGACCCGTGTAGACCAGGGGCAAAAGAAGCCATAGACGCATGCAGATCTGCTGGGGTGGAGATCAAAATGATAACAGGTGACAATGTGTTCACAGCAAAAGCCATAGCTACAGAATGTGGGATTCTGAAAGGAGGTCAAACGGTCAACAAAGGTGAAGTGATAGAAGGCGAGGAGTTCCGAAACTACACAGACGATGAAAGAATGGAAAAAGTCGATAATATAAAAGTAATGGCGAGATCGTCTCCTTTTGACAAGCTTCTAATGGTGCAGTGTCTTAAAAAGAAAGGTCATGTGGTTGCAGTCACGGGTGATGGAACAAACGATGCACCGGCTCTAAAAGAAGCCGATATCGGGCTTTCAATGGGGATTCAAGGAACCGAAGTGGCTAAAGAAAGTTCGGATATTGTCATTTTAGATGACGATTTCGCTTCTGTTGCAGTTGTTTTAAGATGGGGTCGGTGTGTGTACAACAACATACAAAAGTTTATTCAATTTCAACTCACTGTGAATGTTGCAGCTCTTGTTATAAACTTCGTTGCAGCTGTATCAGCTGGTGATGTCCCGTTAACAGCTGTCCAACTATTATGGGTCAATCTGATTATGGATACTTTAGGTGCACTAGCACTTGCCACGGAGCGACCCACTAAAGAACTGATGCATAACCCTCCCGTGGGTCGGGTCGCCCCGCTTATAACGAATGTGATGTGGAGGAACTTATTGGCACAAGCTATGTATCAGATAACGGTTCTTTTGACGTTTCAGTTTAAAGGTAAATCGATCTTTAATGTTGATGAGAGAGTGAAGAATACGATTATCTTCAATACTTTTGTGTTCTGTCAAGTGTTTAATGAATTCAACTCGAGGAAGCTGGAGAAGAGGAATGTGTTTCAAGGGCTTCATAAGAACAGATTGTTTATTGGGATTATTACCGTGACTGTTGCTCTTCAGATTGTGATGGTGGAGTTTTTAAAGAATTTTGCAGATACTGAGAAACTGAATTGGGGGCAGTGGGGGATTTGTATAGCAATTGCAGCATTGTCATGGCCTATTGGTTGGTTTGTGAAGTTGATACCAGTGCCAGATAAACCGTTTTTAGACTATATACGACTAATACGAAGGTGGATTTGGTAACGATCTGGATGGAATAAGTCCCCTGGGGAGGGGTGAATTGTCATTCTTTATAAGTATAGGGTTATTTGGCATGATTACTTGTAAAATTTAAATATTAGTTATTACAATTATGTATACAGGTTTATATTTATGAAACTATCATAACATTGTTAATTGGTATTATCTGTCTGCAACTTCTCCATCTACCGGTTCATTTCCAAAAGAGAGAATAAGAGCAAAACAAGTTTATTATGCAATTTCTATACTTGCATTACAAATTGAACAGTAATTTATAAGGCATATTAAGTTCAAAACATTACTAATAATCATCATAATAATAAAAAAAAAAAAAAAAAGTTCTCTTTTCCAAGTTGTAATTAAGGGTGAAATTTGTACCTGAAGAAATACAGCTATGTAATTTGGAGGCTCCATGCACCTGTAATCGTCCAATGTAAAACAAACATGAAGCTCAGATAATTGGAAGAAAAGTTGCTTCCAGAAACGTTTAATAAAGAGAAAATCAGAAAACCACTCGTCTCAACAGACATCCTTACAAAGCCATTGACAATTGCTCAATTCCAAGAAAGCTAGGTGCTAGTCATTCACCACATCACATCTTCAAGGGGCATGTTAAAACAAATGAAATTGATGTGTCATCACTCATTGACAAAGAGGATGATGACATGGACACACAGCTAAGATTTCAGCTTTCATAATAGATATCTGTTATGAAATATTTGGCTATTCAGGAATAGTGGGAAAGCAGCTTCATTCTCTTTGATCATTAGTACCATTGTGTACTATCCTATCTTATGTAATCTTGTGTAACAAAAGTCACTATCCATTCTCTTCTTCTCATCTCTGCATTCATCAACCGTGAGAACAAAGTTCAGTTTATTAGAGATACATTCTCTCCTTTTTATCTCAAAAAGGTTATAGCTTATAGGACATAGGTACAACGTTATCAACATCGAAGTTGCTAATTACTAAGTACCCATAGAACTTAGGTACTCAATATTTCCTTCTGAAACACTTGTGAGATTTCCGATCACATTCAACTCACGTATTCCTGAACTACGTACCACAAATTGAGATATAACCTTGTTTTTGCTCAAGTAATTCCATGAAATTACGACTAATTTAAATTAGATATGACAAAAACACGTCTCGTTATGTACATATCTGCAGTTACGGTTATCAAAGTACTACGTATCGATTTTAAGTTGCAAAATACCACGGTTTGGAATCGAGCTTCAAACATAACTAAGTTTTCCTTCTGAAACACTTGCGAGATTTCCGATAAATTCATCTCGCTTATTCGTGAACTCCCTGCCTCCGATTGAGATAAATCTCGTTTATACAAATGTAATTTCATGAAATCACATATAATTAGTGGTAGATATGTCATAAACATGGTTTCTTATGCGTGTGGTTTACAGTGTGTGTGTGTGATGAAGGAACGATGGCGGATATACCTTGAATCACACAGCGATCGTAATCTAGAGAGGATACTTGGGTGAAATCAGATGAAGAAGATTGAAGAATCGTTTTGGGGCTGATTGCATTCGGGCCTTGGACCATTCGTAGGTGAGAGTGTGAGATTGTCATGACTGGAAAAAACAGATTTAACGCCATGTTTGGCCACTTTGGGATTATCGAGAGAAGTGAAAGGAATAGGGAAGAAGGATGAGTAACAATTCGTTAATACTTTATTTTATTTTTTATTATTTAATATAATATAATTTAATTTTAATAAGTGAAAAAAAAAAGGAAGAAAATGAGTAACGATTTGCAAAAATTTCTTGTTTGGTTCTATTTTTTTTTTTTTTTTTTTTTTTTTTTTTTTTTTTTTTGTATTCTGGGCATCCCTACTTTTATTATTACTACACGTTTGGTTCATGCGTCGATTAGCCGTTATTCTCCTCCGTTAATACACTTCACGTGATTGGCACACAAGGGTTAATTTTGGCATTTTGTTCAAAAACCCTTATGAATGTTAAGATGAAAAAAAAAAAAAAAAAAAACATGTCCAATATCTATCTTGCTATCTTCTTCTCTACAACTTCAAGAAAAACCCTGATAAATCAATAAATCAGGAATACTTTAAATGACAAAACAAGTTAAGTGCGGAAGAGTAAACTTAACAGTTGATATATAAAATGATAATGAAAGACCATATGCATAAATAAATAAGACATGATGAACAAAAGAGCAATCAAGTATATATCTTGAAAGAATGTCATAGAAAGATGATGGAAAAGTGTAAGGAGAACCACAAGTCAGTTCCCTTTTTTTTATAGACACTTATGAGGTCAATCTTGTAAATAAGTACCAACACAAGCTCGCCTAAGATGATCTGCAACAGTTAATAATTAAGCATCTTAACTAACTATAGTATAATAACGGATACTACTAAAAGACAAAATACAAAAAAAATCAACTTCTTCTGATAATTATCTTCGAACAACTCAACTCGTCGGTAACACAAGTCTTCGGTCAACAGCTAAGAAGGATCTTTTGCGGAGGGTCACTTCAAGATTCAACAATCTTCCCTTAAGTGACCAAAGTCGCTTCAATAGAGGTTTATGAACTCTCTAAGAACTCAGCAACCTTCTTAATTGTAAATCTTCAGATGATAATAATTCATCCATCTACTTCACAATCTTTGTCTTTATACGTGTTGAAGCTTAAGGAGGCTCCAAGGCTACGTTCATGATGCTCTTCAAGAAACAGTTAAAGTAGCGATGCTTTTGGCTTAGTTTGAAGAACAAATTCTATGATGTATCGTCCACTTTTAATATTGTTGGATTAAGGTGTCTAAGGTCCTAACTAAATTGGTATAATGTTGATAAATAAAAGTAAAGTTATTTTTGGATTGCCCTCATAACCAATAAATTGCTTAGATTGATTGTAGGATATAGATAAATGATTTATTAATATATTAATTAGAAATAGTTATAATTAATTTAGAATTAATTTTGGGTAATTTGAATTAATTAAAGGTTGAAGGACTAAAGTTGTAATTGTTCAAGAGTTTAGCAGAGGAGAGGTTCCAGAACCTTCCTCCTATGGACAGTTTTTTTTAGACCCTTTAGGGTTTTTGGAAGCCACCTAGATAATCAAGGAACTAGATAACTATAACATCCCAAAAATCAAGGTAAATTTTCATTTTCAAAACCAAGCTAAAACCCTTAAATGTTTACAAAACATAGTTTCCAAAAGTTATAATCGTGAATCAGAGTATCCCAAAATCAAATATCATAAAAATCTGAAGGATGTGCACGATCAATCCTTCGCCTTGCCCATGTCCTCTAAAGTATCTGAAACCATAACAACCAAACTGTAAGCCAAAGCTTAGTGAGTTCCCTTAAGATACTGTACACAACCATAACAACAACATACAATAACAGCATGCAATAGATATTATATATATATCGATATATATATTAAGATATATATATATATATAATATATATCTAGATATATATATATATATATAAGCCTTCAGCCTGACTGGACCGCCTCTCAAGCACTAGTACAAAAATGACCTACGGTCACACTTTCTGAAAAACGGCCTGTGACACTTTTTATTAAAAGTGTGGCCAAAGGTCGCTAAAAAAATTTAGAGACTAATTTTGGATACATTTAAATTAGTTCGTGTGGCCATTATATAGATAATCAAAACTTTAACCACACTTAATTATACCAACCGTGACAAATATTAGTCACACTCGACCACTGAGGCCATAAGTCACAATCAGCCACAGGTATCTATCGATTAAGATTGTCATACTTTTTTTATGAGAGACATAGATTAACGTAACGTGACATGAGTTAGTTCTATGTGTGTTTGTAACCTGGTGCCTATTTAGCCACATAACAGACAAAGTAGCTAAAATGTGATACATATGGTCACACTAAATATTTGTGTGTCCATAGGGCGGTTCTGTACTAGTTGTACTTAGTTAACGCAATAAATTAAAACAAGTTAGTATTGGTTACTTATGGTCATGTATCATTTAGGGTAAATTACACCATTAGTCCCTCGTGCACATGCCAGAAAGCGTGTTTAGTCCCTATTTTCAAAAATTAACTCGGACCGTCCCTCATTCGTTTAAAACTTGCACGTTTCGTCCCTCTGGACATAAAAAGAACATTTTGCCCTTATTTATTTCTTTTTTTTAATTTTCTTTATCTGTTTATTATTTTTAGATTAAAAAAAAAGAAAAAAACAAACCCCTCCCTGCTCCCCCCTCCTACGTATTCCTCTACCTTTGTCCCCCATTCTCAGCCACTCCCAAAGTCGGCGAAGCCCCATCAGCCCCACCTTCACCTTCACCCAAATGTGATAAACCAAAATCGAACCAGTCGATCTTCATCCTCCTCCAATCGCCTCTATCAAACCCTAGAACTCAAGAAGGAACTGTACATGGAATCATCAACAGCACCACCATCGCCGTTGGAATCATCAACAACACACAATCACCACCACCATCTCATATCTCCACTCAACCTAAGTAGCCTCTCGTTTTAACTGTTCTCAATTTGCAGCAAATTAGAATATCGAAAATAGAGAAGTAAGTTGCGATTTATCCTTTCCCCAATTTCCTTTCTACTTCTTTGAATTTAATCGATCATCTTTCTCACTCTGTCTCATAGACTGGCAACACCTCCTGGAATCACCACCAGTCATTACTCAAACCTCAAAAAATGAAACCTGAACCTGCAAATGAAACCAAACTAAACCCTAAACTTATAAATCGAAGATGATGGAGATTCAGATCGGAGAAGCGGGTTCAGAAATTGAGGGATAGAGATGGTTGGCTTCGAGGGTAATATAAGGCAGGTGGTAGTTGTTGTTTGGAGTCAATGAACTGATGATGTTCGAATGGTGCAGGTTGTACGAAGGTGGTTCCGACTGTGGTGGGTTTTCCAATTTTGAAGGTATGGTTTAAATTGGGTGTTGGTTGCAGTTTATGATGATGAACAGGAGTGCAACAAGGGTGTTCCGATGGTGATGT